CAACCCTTTGTTGGGTGCTGCGCAAACACCAGCAACCACTAGCCTGTCCCAGCAAACCAAGATATTTAGAGAGAAGACTAGTGATGCAAAACAGGGAACAGAGGAGACAAATAACTTTGCCAAATGTCATACAGCAGATCAGAAACAGAGCTGGAAATGAGATGTAGACCACCAGGTCCTGGGACCACATATGTCCCTAAAACAAAAAAGGAGCTGGAACATTAGGTCTTAACAGAAATCCAGTGATTTAGAGTCATAGATAGAGAGACACTTTCAGTTTAAAGGTCATGCTTCATTACCCAGACCTATAATCTATTTCACTTGAACTCTACAAACTAGCTTAAACAAGAATTAGATGGTACATGTCTTTCCACTTCCTGGATTGGGCTGTTCTGGAGAGAGAAAATTTACAGGAATGAAGGAATAGCATTTATGAGCTCGATGAAGAAGATCGGAAAAGCACACAAAAAAACCCCTGATAAACACAAACAGTGATATTTCAGGCACAGAAGTCTTTTACCAGGGCTAAAAAAAAGACAAAGACTTTCAATGCAGGTTGAGAATAAATTGCTCTAAATTTATATTATATTAATCTCTGAAGTTATCTGAAAGGAATGATGGTTAGTACTTGTGAAACAGAGGCAGGATGATCATGAACAATGCAAACATGAACCCCTGTGGGACAGAATGTCCGAACGAGCAAGGTAATTTTTCAGTTTGCTTCATTTTGTGTCCTTGACAGCAGTGGATGAGGAGTCACTGCCATGTTTCTTCCTTAACTCAGTCATCTTTTTATTCTATTGTTTTCTGCAAGGTTTTGCTACCTTCATGAAAGAAGAAAATATTTGGGAAACATCTCACCTACCATTTGTCACTAAAACTTGGGCACTTTCTCCAAAGCAGCCACTGCAGTTTATGGAGGCAGACATAAACTAGGCCCATTTGCTGACAGGACTTGTGACCCTGCAAGGGGAAGAGTGTGAGGAGCCTCCTTCTGAGGCGGAAGGAGCAGTACAGAAAACATGTGATGAACTGACCACAGCTCCCATTCCCTGTCCCCAGGTGCCACTGGCAGGAAGGAGGCAGAGAAAATTTGAAGTTGAGCCCAGCAAAAAGGGAGGGATGGGAGGAAGGTGTTTTAAGAACTGGGTTTTTATTGATCATTATCCTACTCTGATTTGTTTGGTAGTAAACTAATTTCCCCAAGCTGAGTCTGTTTTGCCCATGGAAGTACTTGCTGAGTGATCTCTCCCTGGTGTTATCTCAACCCACGAGCCTTTTGTTGTAATTTCTCTCCTCTGCCCAGCTGAGGAGGGGAGTGCTAGAACAGCTTTGGTGGGCATCCAGAAAGGGTAACCCACCACAGAGGCCATCAGCAAAGACATAAAAAAAGTTACAAAACTTTATTTTTAATATTACTTGGACCCAAGATTCCATTCCAGCCCACCAGGGTGCCCAGGGGAGGAGAGCAGCTGGGACCCCTGTACACTAAATTGCTGGCTTCCCAACGATAACATACCTAAAGCTGCTGCTTACTGCACTGTTTAGAGTCGCATCTGACACTCTGAAAACATTCACTACAATTCATTTTGGATCTTAACAGCATTTAATTCCTTCACTGAGGCTTTGCAGACAGTGATCTTCTCCATTAGCGCTCTTTTTTGTGCTCATCACAGAACATGCCTCATGCAGCAGTAGGGTGTATGTCTTGTAAGAAGAAGTGCATTTGAAATTGTGCTGGGTCTACATCCAAATTGTTCGCCATATATTTAAAGCTGAAAGCACTCTAGCATTAGCTACAGCTCAAAAGCAGACACATAATTCGTTTCACATCGAAGCACACTTGGATATACTCTTACCTCAGACTAGCAGAGATAAATGACTTGCTGGAAGATACCATTTGTAGGACAGAACATTTATTTTGCAGAGACTGGAGATTTTCTAAAGCTTTATTATTGTTGCAATGAATCAGTCTTTGCTACTTGATGTAATCTTGGCAGCTCAGCAATACGCTTTTTACGGTTTCAAAAAGAAATGCAGAGTAGCTGTTTTATTTCAAAATAGCATCTTTTTTGTTTGTTTTGAAGGAGGTGCATATGTAGGGCTACTAGATGACAGGTCTCAAAATGCATACGAAGGTGACTATTACAGATCAGATTCTGCATAGTACTGTTTTCATTAAAATAGCTGAATGTGAAAAAGAAGAACAAATTGCAGTCAAGTCTTTTGAGCCTGCACACAATTATACATGCTGGTATTGTTCTAAGCGCATGATGGCTTATTGCATTACGTGGGTCTCCACAAATGCAGCTCTGCTTACAACATTTGCAGGACTAGAGCCCAAAATAATAGCCTTCTGATTCTATATTTTCAAGCAAAGGTATTTCTAACCTTGTTAACAGACTTTCCTCCCTCTTCTGCATCAGCTGGAGAGTATCCATTCTGTTTCATATAGAGCTAAAAGCCTGTTATGTTGATAATACTTGGAAGCAGCTTAGTGCACTGGACAGTGTTTACATTTTTCAGACATGTGAGTGACTTAGGAACATCAGCACCTTTAGGACAGCATAGTTAAGCAGAACAGGATCTGAAACTCCAGTACCGGCCAGTATTAATTTTAGCTGGGGAGGGCTTTTGAAAACAGAAAGCTAAGGAAACAATCAGTGCAATTTCAGAAGCACTGTATGCATGCACACACATTCAGATCTGTTTAGTTTATCCCTGCCATTCTTGCTTTCTCTATAATGCTGCTAAATTTAAAGAATAAATCTTGATTTCATCCAGTGACTTGCTCCCCTCCTTTCCTTGCTCCTGACTGTAATATCTATTATCCCAAAAAATCTCTCTTCACCTCCATACTGTTAACTGCATCCCTTAGTTAAAGCTGAAAGCACCCTCCTACCTCTAGATGCAGAAAAAAAGGGTAGGAATTCTTGTTTGACTATTACTATAATTTACAAAAGTCCACAAGCTGATGGCATGCAGTATCAATTATGCCAACCAAAGCAGAAGAAAAATGCTTCAGTCCCTCCTCACGCAAGATTTGCAGTGGCATCACTGGGACTTTTGCTTCAGCAATAGCTTGTAGAACTGACAGATAAAAAAAATTACACAGAATATAAATTGAATTTATGACATAACAAATAATATTTAATAGATAGCATTGAATGCATATACATATCAATACCAGTGCTGTAACAACAAAACAGAACTTGTAAAATTAGCAGCAGTTTTTTGCAAGTACAAAAATACACATTTTATTCAGAACATATATAATAGCAAAATTTAACAGGATATATTATACAAACTCAAAGCATTTAGATAATGCATCACTTTAATATATTATATGATGTATGACACAGACAGTGAGATCATCAAGTGCAACCTCAGCAATATTGCAGATGACATGATGCTGAGAGGTGCAGTTGACACAACAGAAGGATGGGATGCCACCCAGAGGGACCTACACACAAGCTCAAGAAGTGGATCCATGGGAATCTCATGAGGTTCAACAAGTCTAAGTGCAAGGTGCTGCACCTTGCCCTGGGTTGGGACAATCCCAAATTTGGGCACAGACTGGGAGAAGAATTCCTTGAGAGCAGTCCTGTGGAGAAGACCCTGGGGGTGCTGGTGGATGAGAGGCTGGACATGAGGCGATGATGTGCACTCTCAGCCCAGAAAGCCAGTTATATCCTGGGCTGCATCAAAAGCAGTGTGGCCAGCAGGGCAAGGGAGGGGATTCTGCCTCTACTTTGCTCTGGTGAGACTCCAGCTGGAGTGCTGCATCCAACTCTGGGGTCCCCAGCACGGGAAAGACATGGACCAGTTAGAGGCGTCCACAAGAGGGCCACAAAGAACCTCAGAGGAAAGGAACACCTCTTCTATGAGGAAACGCTGAGAGAGTTGGGGTTGTTAAGCCTGAAGAACAGGCAGCTTCAGAAGACCTCATTTCAGCCTTCCAGTACCTTAAGGGGGCTTATAAAAAAGAGGGAGATTATTTTTTTATATGGGAAGACAGTGACAGGACACGGGGCAATGGTGTCTTTAAATTGAAAGAGGGCAGGTTTAGATTAGATGTTAGGAAAAAATTCTTTCCTATGAGGGTGGGGAAGCACTGGAACAGGTTGTCCCAAGAAGTTGTGGATGCCCCATCCCTGGAAGTATTAAAGGCTAGGTTGGATGGGGCTTTGAGAAACCTGATCCAGTGGAAGGTGTTCCTGCCCATGGCAGCAGGGTTGGAACTAGATGATCTTTAGGGTCTCTTCCAACCCAAACCATTCTATGATTCTATGTTTTAGATGCTGCATAATAAAATTACGTGTGTTCTGCTTGCAATAATACATAATGCCATTTACAGCAATGTTAAGAAAATATCCACAACTTAAACATGAACAGAACAGCCAACAAAGCACAATAAATGAAACACACAGAGTTGCAGGGTGTTAGTTACAAGCTTCTGCATTTCCCTTTACATATTTTTGAACTTACTTTTGTCTTTCTTTTGCAGTGTGAAAGGAATAACTACACCTATCAAGCATACCACATAAACATACAGAAAACAATACACTTACTCCTGGGAGGACAATGAAGGGAATATTTATCAGTTTCAGAACAGTAGTATAATACCACAGTTATGGAATCTATGCTGACTTTGCACACTACATCAAAAGCACAAAGGACTGGGACTCACATCTTCAAGGCTCAACACTCGAGTGGTCAAGGGGAGAGGCCCAGCAGGCACCCTGCTGCCCTGGCAGGGTCAGAGAACAGGGCACTGGCCTTGGTTACCTCCTGGGTCCCTTCCGGATTTTCAGGAGACTTCTGTTTGCTTGCTTTTTAGCAATTTTTATTATTCTTACAATGTTCTTGCAAAGCTTTATGTCGGAACATTACTCAAACAGTTTCCTAAAAAAAAGAAAACTTGTGAGTCTGGGGACTGCTCAATTAAATTTGAACAACCTGGATGTTAAACTTAAAATGAACACACGTTAACACCAAAGGCATTTTCTTTATGGTGTTTATTTTAAGCATTAATATTCCTCTGCAAAAAAGCTTTGGTCAGTCTCTTTAAACTTTGGATTGCTGTAATGTTTTTCTAGACTTCCTCTTTGATCATGAAGACTGTCTCTTCCTGTGACTTTCAGAGGCAATGCCTGAATTTTAGGCTTAATCAAATAGCCATCAACTCCATCAGTAGGTTTCAGGGGGGCTGGCCTGCTGTTGGGCTCCACCAAGCCCCTTTCAGCCACAGCGTCAGTAGGTTGTGGAGACGGTGGCACCTTGGTGGGTGTAACCAAATAGTCACCAGCCACAGCAGCAGCAGCAGTAGCGTCTTCGTGTTTCTTTAGCAATTGAAAAGTGCTGTCGAAAGGGCAGGAGGTTTCACTTAGGGTAAACAGAGTCTGGTCTGAAAACTGCGAGAAAGCACTGTCCAGAGAGCAAATTGATGACACAGATGGAGATGTCCCAGAAGACTGGCTAGAACAGCTAAATCCTGAGCAAATATTTAATCCCTCTGGTGTTGGAGGCAGGAGACAATGGGACAGGTCTTTCCTTTCAACGTTTTGATTTGTGTTGTCACTTTTACCAACATTAATCCCCATAATCAAGCTCCGATTGCTAAGCTTTTGCCTTTCCATCTGCAATGACCGAAGCTGACAGAGATAGTCTTCATCTTCATGAGATAGGACAACATCACAGCTGGCTTTGCGTGTTGCCTTCTCATGACCATCATCAATGTGGACAAAACTGGAGGCGAGGAGGGCAACTGCAGGCTCGGAGGAGCGTCTGTGTCTCCTCGAAGTTTTGAGAGCACCTGAGGTAGCGGCTGAGGAGAAACCCAGTGCGCCGGAGCACCGAGATTCATTCTGTGAGTTTTCTTGCGATGAAAACTTCAGGTGCATGCCAACAGAAATTGTCAACTGCTTTGATCTGGTCTCGCTTTGGATTTCATCCACCTCTGTCTGTTCCGAATCACCATCACTCAGAGTGAAGACAGACTCCCTGCTCCGGTTATCTTGATCGCGGGTTTTAATCCAGTCACTAGAAGAAGAGTCAGCTTCATCATTCGCCTCATTTTCCAGGCTGTCATAGGAAGAATCATTCTGATGGAGAGAAGCAACATCTGCAAGGACAAAACCTAGTGTTAACACATCAGTGACTGAACCACTCTATTGACAAGCAGCTTCCTTTTTTTATTTTTTTTGGCAAGTATCCTTTACTTTCAGGAGTATTTGCCCTTTAAAGATTCTTCAAGCAGAAATATCAATAATTTCAGAAAAAATTACTATCCGATTTTGAAATGGAAAAGATCAAGTGAGTGCTAAGCTGCAGTTCAGTCAAGAAATACAGGATAATGGCACAATTAAGGGTTAGGGGTTTTTTTTTGTTGTGGTTTCCTTGGTTTGTTTTGGTTTGGTTTTTTTAAGTGGTGAACTTTAGTAGTAGATAATCTAGCTGTAAACAATTATTTACATACATACATGTATTTAACGGGTAATTATTGAATTTTTCTTTTCATTATTGAATATTGAAAATAACATTTAACCTTTCTTTCCTTCTTTTAGACAAATGAAGAACACAGGGCATACTTCATATTTCCATGGTCTTCCAGAAAATAGCTTTCTTCCAGAAAATATATTTTTAAGAGCAACATAGTGAGTTTTAGTCTCAGTTTAAACAGGCACCTCATTTCCACTCAGCAGTGCACACCTGGGTCCTAATCTGTATTTGCGATAATTGGAATTACATCAAATCTCTTTTGCTCCGGGCCACTCTAAGCTGACTTATCTCACATTTGCAGCAGACACAGTTCCCACACGGGCAGTTACCACACCTCAGTGCATGCCTGAAAACTTGTTCAGCTGTCACAACCTATTGTGGGTGTGAGCTCTCAGTCCCAGCACATCCCAGCACAGCAGATCCCATGTGCTTCACTCCTGGAGAGGAGGCAGGCCAAATTTCACTGGATTTCATCAAATCTCACCTGGAGCATGAGGAGTTCAGAACAGGCACACTGAGTCAGTCTGGCATACCAATGCAAGTGCCATTACCACTTTCAGTATAGGCCAGCTGTGACAAAATCTATTTTACAAAAAATGCTGCTTTAGAAACACTTTAAGGAGAGACACAAAACTCCAGTCAAAATTAATGCTATCACAAAGTTGGAGAGAAAAAGAGCACTAAGAATAATCTGAAGAGTTCTGTCAACTAGTCTGTCAGACAATTTCAGTCACCAGTTCCATCATTTTTCTGTGCTAGTAGCAAAATCTGGATGTCCCATTGAAATTATGGAGATCTCTCTCTTTTGATAGTGAAGAATAGACACTTTCAATCCTAATATAATGGTGTGACATGACAGCTGCATTATAACCATCGTTGATCACTGACTTCATGACATTCTGGAGGCTGAGGCAAAAATTCTAGACTTAAGATGAAGCTTTCTCCAGATTTTTTTCCTCTTTTTTTTTTTCTTTGTTTCCCCTTCCTCTTTTTTACCATAGTGGCTCAAATGACTGGTATAGGAGCAAGAGATTCTTTGCAAGAGCATTCTGTGATATGGCTCAGGTCTTTGGTAAGTTGAATCAGTTTTTACGACCAATATTTTGGGCAGAGGAAAAGAGAACAGCAGTATCTGGAAAAACTGCATGAAAAGGGAACAGTATTTTTTCTTGGAATAGACTGATCTTTTGTATGGATAAGTTTAGCTGTCTTAAGGAGATCAAAATATCAATCTGTATTACCTGAGCTGTTCTCTCTACTGCATGTCATCAGTATTTCTCCAAAGAGGGAGGTAATTTCATCTCCAAAAATCCTGCAGCAATTCTCAATGAGGAACTGTACCAGACTGGAAATCTGCAACAAAGCAACGGGAGAGAGATGTCTTGTCAGATCTTCTATTATTGCACTCAGGGCAAGCTCACCATACATATGAGGAACAGGAGCAAACTGTATTCCATGATGGCAGCCAGGAACTACTCTCTCAATCTGCTGGGCCCAGATAAAATATCCTGGTATACATCATCGTATGCATCTTCTCCATTTCTACTCAATCCTGTTCAGAGGTCACCGCAACACAGAGCTTCTTGATGAGAGAAGCACTTCACTAATACACTGTGTATTGCTTTATGATCTCCCTCCCCCTCTTCCAGATTATGAGAACGGATAGATGAATGTTTCTAGAGCCCTGACAGGAGGACAAGTCCTGATCTGAAGAGGTATTGACTGTTTTCATGTTTGTAACCAACAGCGTGGTTGAACAGGAAGAAGGTTGGTTTGTTTTTTAACTACACTTAAGTGTCTCTTACCTTTTTTATAAATTCACTTTCTATATCAGGAGTGGAGGAAACAGGAGGCCAGAGCAAGCTAGGTGCAATGCAGACAGCCAGATTAAATGCATTCATCTGGTTCTCTTCAGATCTCATTTCTATACCATGCAGCACTCCAAAGATGTAACGTAGGAGAACAACATTAGCTCTGGGGAGCTGCTCTAATAACCTGAAAACATACACAAATGTAATTCTTCAAGTTAATGACCATTTTCCATAGATACACACAAGTCAAGGTAATGGAATTACAGAAACAGGGTAACATGGTCCACTAATTAAAGCCAGGAGCGTGTCAAAGAGATGTTGTTGCTCAGCTGCTTTCCCTCACTGTGTCTCTGAACAGTTTTCCGGAACAACAGAAAACATCATAACACATAATTAAAATAATGCTCTGTCAAACTAATGAACCAAGTACAACGTATGTCATGAAACTGTACTTCACCTGAGCTCCCTGATAATTCACTATTCACTTAACCAAAAAGTTCAGCTGTCTCGTGTAGGTATGTGTGAGGTCAGTTAGCGTACCAAGCTCTGCTTCCCGTGACATAAACTTTGCCTACTTTCTCTTTTATACCACCTGCAAGGGTAGAGGCTTCCCTTGTCACTCTACTCCAGCATTTACACACAATTCCATCTTGGCTTCAGAATGGTCACTAAAATTTGAGATGAATCAGGGGAAATATATGAGGAACTGCTTTCGGCTTCCCTTTCATCCAGGACTCCAAAGTTCCCTGCAGGTGGTTTTGGATTTGATATCAGGAAGAAATTCAGGTCCTGGACAGCGTATTTCCAAATCATATAAGTTGGTTTTGTTTTCTTCATGAAATGATTAATTTATTTACTGGTATCCACAAAAGGCAAAAAAGTGGGACAAAAGAGTCATAAAACTGTCTCATATAGACAATCATTTAAGTATATATAAGTATATAAGTTTGAATGTTCTGTCATATACACGGAGACTTTTAGCATCTATTTTTAAAAAATTAATTGTAAGTTGAATATTTGCGATTCCGCATTCTGGGATATACATTTATAGGAAAAGAATGCAGAGAATGTAAGTATATTATATAATAGTATTATATAGTATATAATATAAGCATACCTTTGTATGCTTTTTATCCTCTCTTCAGTATTTCCTTGATCCAGCACAGAGACCCACTTATCACACAGCTGGGATGACAAAATGCTGCCTGGGATGTTGCGAAGAAAATCCTTATCAAGAGAAAAGAATAACAAAACATGTGAACAGCTGTTCTGGAGCATGTGAGGGAGTAGGAGTAAGACATGCAGATAGAAGAGGATGTATCCCTGGAGAAAAGCCCTACTTGCTTCTGCATGGGGCTTGTGCTGCTCTCACCCAAAAAGGGAGAAAGGAACATTCTTCACATACCTTAAACAAAGATGCTGTCACAAATATGGATTCACAGGCTAGGTCCACTTCAGAGCCTGAATCAAGCTTCTCCTTGAGCTCTTTGAAGGTTTTTGCACTTCCAGAGCGTCTGAAAATACCCTTGGTGGAAGGGCCCTCTTGGTAAAGGAGAGAAAGCATGTCCTAAAAAAAATTAAAAGGCAGACAGGATTTCTTATAAATATATTTTATTGTCCAGTGCCATGAAAATGTAGTTTTGCCACTTCTGCCCCAGCTGAAAACCTCTGAGTCCTAAAAAAGCTCAGAAATAAAACACAAGTCAAGGTTAACCCTCCAAATCATGCCAAACTGCACAGCAAAGCTGTGATCTGGGGTTCTCATTTTAGAAAATCTTATAAATACTGTGCTGCCACTGCTGAGCTCTAGCTTCCTGCATGATCTTCCAGGACCCATGCAAGTTTCAGCCAAGTCATTTAAATATATAAACATTGTGGTATGGGAAAAGGAGAGGGGTCTACCTAATTCAAAGCTCTGCATCTGATGGTGGCCTCAGACAGACACCACTTTGCATGAAGATATCAGACCCTCACTGCTCATCATTGTAGTCAATATTATCACTGACCAGAGATAGACTTCTGTTCCATTACTGATGTCTGAAAGGAATTAGATTTTTATCTAAGCTGAAAAGCACTTTGTTAATATCTATCTGCACTTCTTCAGCAGATCAGAGTCAGGTTTTTACTCCCTTTGCTGCTTGTGAGTGGTATCATACTTTGCAAGCAGCTCAGGGCTGTCAGAGGGATCACCTCTGGGGCAAGGTGTTCCCTCCTGGGAGGTCACCCAGAGAGGGTTAAAGCTCAGCCTTACAGCTATCCTAAAGCCAATGAGGCTGCAAAGGATTAAACAAGTGGGAAGCTTACTACATGAGATACTTAAAAGGAAAGGGAAAACAAGCAGATTCCTGCTTAGCTTTTAAAATAACAGGAGGGACTGATTTCTTCTGCTAAATAAGAGAGGAAAACAAGAAGAAAAGGAAATGCTGAAATGACTTCTGAGGTAATATGTTCATGATATTTGCCAGATGCTTAGTTCTCTGCGGTCTCCTGTAGGTCATCTTTCTGACATGCTGCTCACCTCTTGCAGGCCTGCTCCAAGTGATACAGAATTTGTCATGTTTCTCTCTTCCAAAGGAGAAACACATGCAGACAGCCTCTGGGATTATGTGTATACACACAGTGGTCTGAGGACCAAGTTATCAAAAGAGACAGCAAGCAAAGGGACACTGGGGAGAGCCCATCATCATAAAACTGAATTATAGAACAGTAATGGCTAAGAAGTGGGGTTTGGGGATTTTCCTAGTCTGGGCTGTAAGGTAGGTCTTCCTGACACACAGCAGTGCAAATAAGTCTAATGGAAACTATTATTTTTACTTTTCCTCTTTAATGTTTCTTTCTCACTCTTGCAGATATTGAAGGCCGAGAATTCATGTAAGTGCAGATGCTTTGGAGAAGCACCTTTTACTCCCTTTGCTGCTTGTGAGTGGTATCATACTTTGCAAGCAGCTCAGGGCTGTCAGAGGGATCACCTCTGGGGCAAGGTGTTCCCTCCTGGGAGGTCACCCAGAGAGGGTTAAAGCTCAGCCTTACAGCTATCCTAAAGCCAATGAGGCTGCAAAGGATTAAACAAGTGGGAAGCTTACTACATGAGATACTTAAAAGGAAAGGGAAAACAAGCAGATTCCTGCTTAGCTTTTAAAATAACAGGAGGGACTGATTTCTTCTGCTAAATAAGAGAGGAAAACAAGAAGAAAAGGAAATGCTGAAATGACTTCTGAGGTAATATGTTCATGATATTTGCCAGATGCTTAGTTCTCTGCGGTCTCCTGTAGGTCATCTTTCTGACATGCTGCTCACCTCTTGCAGGCCTGCTCCAAGTGATACAGAATTTGTCATGTTTCTCTCTTCCAAAGGAGAAACACATGCAGACAGCCTCTGGGATTATGTGTATACACACAGTGGTCTGAGGACCAAGTTATCAAAAGAGACAGCAAGCAAAGGGACACTGGGGAGAGCCCATCATCATAAAACTGAATTATAGAACAGTAATGGCTAAGAAGTGGGGTTTGGGGATTTTCCTAGTCTGGGCTGTAAGGTAGGTCTTCCTGACACACAGCAGTGCAAATAAGTCTAATGGAAACTATTATTTTTACTTTTCCTCTTTAATGTTTCTTTCTCACTCTTGCAGATATTGAAGGCCGAGAATTCATGTAAGTGCAGATGCTTTGGAGAAGCACCTTTATGTCAGCAGGACTCATGTCATCATTTTCATTTTCTTTGCAGGAATTTAGAACTCTGCCAACAAAACAGGCTGAGTTCCACACCACAGGATATTAGCACATGAACAAATGCTTTGAAAATATATTTTGAACAAAGTATCCACAAGATAAAAATCGGAAGCCCCTGTTAAACTAGCAAACCCAGACAAAATTACATGAATGAAGCTAATGGTGTAAGACAATTCAGCGTGGTCATGGCTAAAAGAGAGCCCTTCAGCTGTGAAAGCAAGCTCTGAAGAAGATATTAAACACGCCTGCTGAATTCATCCCTGGTATTTTCCTTCTCTTGTAGGTAAATCCCACACAGTTCCCCAGTATTCCAGTCTCCAGAGATGCTGTATGAATTCAGAAGTAAGTTATATTTTGTGGCATAAACACAATGTTTAAGATTCAAAGTATGAAGTTTACCAAGCTATGATTCTATTCTTAGTAACTCTGGGGATTTTTTCAGATAAAAGTTTACTAATATTTATGTTTTGGAGAAATTTCTGATATGCAGCATTGGCTCATCTCTTAAACAGAGAGCATGAGGGATCAGGTGATCATATTCTTACAGAGTCTCTCTGGAGGGCTTATTTAAATAATCTAAATTATGAAAATACACACTTCTCCTTCAAAAGAAAATAACAAACCCACACTATTAAAAGACCTGAAAAGTCCTAGTATGATTCACTATTCAGGCCGTGATAAAGCAGCACATCAAGCACAAGCTTAGGAGACAAAACATCTCTTCCTGTAAACTGGTGTAACCCCACTGATTTCAGTGGGGTTCTGGCAAATTCTTCCAGCCAAAAGTCAGGCTATTAGGATGAAGGGGACTCACTCCTACTCTGTAAATACTTAAACTGCTGCATCGACAACAGGGCAGCCCTCAGTCCTGACCAAAAATGCCACGTATCTGCCTTAATTATGCCTAGGAATGGGCTCTAGGAAACCCTTTTTCATGTTCTTAGGCTGGTTTTGAGAGCACCCACAGCACTAGATCTCTCTCAAGACAGAAGGAAAAGATGCTTCTGCAGCCTCCAAATTCCCACCTGTTTTTGCAGTGGCGTTATTGGATCAAAAACGAGGACTCAGAGTGCTTGCCTGTCCTGGAATGCCTTCAAGAAAGACTCTGAAACTGTCTAGTTACGGGCAGGTGGCATTTTTATGCATGCGTGGGCTGTCTATATGGGACAGTAGATGACATATTTATGGATTTGGGAATTTTATAGAGCTCTTGGGAGTGGTTTAAAAAGTATGTGAACGTGGCATTTATTTACACTGCATAAGTGAGGATTAGGGAACCGGCCTTACAGCATGGGTTATAAAGAAGAAATAGCCCAGAGCAGCAGGCTGATCACATACGTTTCTCAAGCTGTTATTAACTAAGCCTGACCACAGCACACGTTAAAAACTGAAGTTCTTGCTGAGAACCACAAATGAGGTTTCCTTCTGGAAGCCTTTCTGGTTTCTTTGCTTGGGTACTGTCCCATAAACAAACATGTTCTCATTTACTACACAAAGAAATTCCACCACTGTAATACCCAATTCTGAGCCTGGGACTCACCAACAGGGGTTTGGGCAGGTTGTCATCCTCACAGATGGTTGTTAGCAAGAGGCCAAAGAGCTTCCCAGGAGCAGCAGATGTTGTGGAGAGGGGTGCATTGTCCAAATGAGTGCCTGGGCCACGCCAAAAAGCCCAATTTATGATAGATCTTTTCCTTTTAAATGACTTTTGGCTTAAGTCTGGGGAAAGAGAAAGGTGTTTATTAGAAGAAATGCATTTCAGTTCTAGTTCCAGTATTTGGTTTTTGGTGGTTGCTATGGTTTCAAAGGAAAAAATGTCATGAACTCAACCAATTCCTTGGCATCCAGCTAAGCCTAATCCACCATGAATATATCTGTGCGTGCATGTGTGTGTGTGTGGAGAATGTGTTGCCTTACTCACGTCCTGAAGAGGATACAGGATCTGCGCTGCGCTGCTGGACCACAACATCGGCACTTACCCTAAGTGCAGGAGGGCAAACCTCAGTTTGCTGACATCACACAGAGCTGGACTCTGCTAAATAACTCATTTTCCACCCACACGAGCAAAACCAAAGACCTTCTTCAGAAAAGAAGGTTTCCATCTTGGCTTGCTGACCGGAGGCATCCTAGTGTCCCTGGCAATGCAGGAGAGCACCCACTCCCCCCACAAGTAACACAAGAGAATCAGCGGATGTGGTGAGATGTTTTCAGACCATGAAAAGCCACTGCCTTTGCTCTCTTATCTGCAATGCAAGAGTATCATTAGTCTTCTCACTCCAAGCATTTGCTGACCATGGCCCAAGGACAGTGCCTGCCCTTTAATCAACGCCTTCCAGATGGCATTTCAGCATGCTGCCCACACACTAATGGGCTCTGTTTGTCCTAATTTTAGCATCTTTCATGACATATCGAAAGACCACCACTAATTGAAGCTCTTATTCTCTTATTTGCCGCATATAGAGAAGGAAAAACTGGTATTGGGATACAAAAAGGGTTTTTTCATATGACCTTTCTCAACATCAGACAGTGTAAACTCTTCTTAACAGCATGGGCTACTGCTAAGTGGGGAGGAGGTGGGGACTGTTTATGACAGAAATGCTAACTGAGAAAGACTTATTCTGATATTATTTTTCCTTTTCAAGGTGTTTTCAAAGCCAATCAGCATTGATTTAGTTGCTTGCCTACCCTACACACTTTTCTATTAGCTGGTTCTTCCACCTGGTCAAACATTTTACTTTCTGCTGTTGTGGAGGGCAGAAACAAGGCTTGCAGAATTAAGGATTGTGGCATAATACCAGGTTTTTCTCTCCAATACTTTATTCTCTCCTACACTTTACCGCAATTGTTTTTTGAGCTCAAAGAGTAATTTTCATTATACGTCATTCCATTCCAGATCATGCTCCTTTTGGGAATGGGTGGAAATCTTTTCATTAGACACTATAGGATGAAAAGTTACAGTTTAATTCAAAATGTGAACATATGAATGTGAAAGCCTGATGAAAAATTCTTTTCATAAAAAATAACAAGGATATACATTTCAAGCAGCTCAAAGCTTCAAGAAATGTAAGTCTGGCAGTATCTATGGCTTTACTTGACACATCATGTTCTGGAAAACATAACTAACCTGTAACTTTCAAAATGACTTTTTTTTCTTTCAGATGAGCTGGATATTAGCACACAAATAAGGTTTTCTTCACTTGGAGTTCTAGTCACACAGCAAATACATACTGGTGTTTTTTTCTGTCAATCCTGTAGGTCTCAGTGGAAGTAAAAATTAAGAAAAGATGCTATTTTGGATAACAAGGAAAAGCAGAAGTGAATAAAAAAGGAGTCTTAAAATTAGGAACTCTTCTTAGTCTCTTACTGTTTGCTCCCCTCTTAAAAGCCATGTCTCAAACTGACAGTGTGAGCAAGGGGTAATTGTAACTAACTGCAGCTCTCTCCAGGGACAGGAAGGAAATCTTAACCAGTGCTCTTCAGCATACCAGGGCAGAAACCAAAAACTGATGTACAGCAATGAAATGCCATGTCACTTAAAAAACTAACATTCACTGAACAACAGGAAAACTCATCCTTTTAATATTCCCTTTTTAAAAGGCTTGAGAAGTCTTAAGCTAAAGAGCAGATGAGAAGGCGTGGATGTACACTTCCTTTCCTTGAACCTGTGCAAAGCTGCAATACAAGGAGAAGCCCAGGCTTCTCTCAGCCAAGACAGTCACCAATTATTGCTCTGTAGAAGTACTTCCATACAAAAACCTCAGGACACTGCTCTGGTGGATTATTCCAGGCCATAATCAGAAAAAAATCAACACTGATGGAAAACTTTGCTCAGAGCTCACAGCAGCCATCTCTTCTGCTCATATTTTACATGAAGGGAATTTCCATTCATAGGTAGTGTTCCAGTCATGGAAGTGGCATTTCCTCTTCTTGAAACTAATCAGAAACTTCTAAACAAAACTTAAGATCTGTCTAACAGCATAGCATCCTTTCTGATCAAACCCCTAACTGTCAACAGTTTTCAAAGACCTCCTTTCTGTACTGAGACTAATTGGTTGAATCTTTGCTTTCTAACAAACAATTAAATAATAATTTGGATTACAGAGTAGCCACTGGCAGCAGTTGGTTCTTTCAATACTTTAGACATGTGCTCATGAGCATTACTTAATGGCTATGTTTAACTGGTAGGTGACCATTCCTGTTACATGCTGAAAGGCCACACAGCAGAGGTGACAGAAACACTCCAGTTCTTCCACACATTAAATTCTCTGTACTTTTTTTAACCATCCTGCCAGGACAGCTGATGTAACTACACCACCACACAGCTACTTATTTGACATGACAGCCTAGTGTCAGTCATGTCTGCCTGTCAACACCAACACTGCTGCCTAACCCTGGTGCATACTGGTGCAGCTGGTCAGCTGCTCCTTGCTGCCTCCAGAAGGCACAGCATGTCCAGCATAGTGGTATCGATGCAGGGAAGTGATGGGAGGGAGGATAGCACAGCATGTGACAGTGAAATGTGGGATTACAGATGCCGTTCTCTGTAAACTTGCCCTGTATGTGGCAGTGTGTCTAGTGGTTAATCAAAAACAAACACAGAGATTATGGCTGGCTGATCTGAAGATGAGCCCAAAGTCAGATCACAGCCTTGGCTTGCATACAGGGACCTTTTGCCATTTTCCAAATCCGAAATAGGTGAGAAGGAGTAAGGAGGAGCACAACAAACAGCGCTGTATGTGAGACAGCCTGCTTTGCAAGCAGTCAGACTACACACCACTTTAAGAGGTTCTGTCTGATGAAAGAAGGAAAGGTGAAGGGACTAAAAGCCTTCCTCCCATTTAGACCAATCCCTGTGCATGACATGCAGGCTGCCCCAGGCTTTTGCTGCCCCAAGCTAGCCTCACCGCCCCTCTGCACCTTGCACAGCACCGATGACAACACATCTGCATTAGAACACTACAGGCCTGATTTGCATTTCTATTTTCTCTTGCCAGTCAACATCAGCTGCCAAAGCAGGGTCTGTAAATCTAATTACACCCCTTTGCTAGATTGCCTCATTCTTGAAACATGCCATGAAGTAATATGTGATACAAGTTACTGCGAAGGGGGGGATGAAGGCATGCAGAAAGGAAATTAATATACATAAAATGTAATCAATTTTCAGAATAACTTATAATAGACACTAGTATAGTTTACTATATTTAATTTCTAAAAACATTACAAATGGATTCTATTCATATATTGTGGGAGATCTTAGCTACTGGGGAGTGCACAGGGTAACAGTGTACATGTTATTTTTTTATGATACAGTCATCAGTGGTGAAGTAGGGCAGAGTTCCTAATTAGCTGCGTATGCCAGTGTGTTAAGCACAATTAAAACACACCATGGGATGTATCCTTGCCTGAGATGTAATGTCTCGATCCTGTAAAGATCTCCTTATTTCTTTTATCATGAGCAGTGCTCAGTCATTGTGTCGTTGACAACAGAGTGCAAAACAGAGAGCAGGTGCTCATATTTTTGCAGCATCAAGGCCAAAGGCAGAAGAAAATACTACTTTCTTCAATTTGTTCAGAGTACTGAAATAAAGAAGTTCTATTCGCTCACCTCATCTAAGTACTCAAGGACACGTCTAGACTTTGCCACTTGAGGGTCCCAGTGAAGTAGGTTTACAGCCCTAAGTACCGTATTGAGATAAAGGATGCTGCCAAATGTTGCACGGGAATTCTGTGCCGAAGTCAAGCCCTGACACCTGAACCGTAAAACCACTCAGCCTTGCTACAGAGCACAGCAAGGGCTGCAGAGAGAAGAGACTTACAAAAAATTGCAGGGGAGAGATTTTGTCTTCCTTTTGCTTGTTTTAGAAGAATCATTTGACAGGCAGCTTGTCAAAATGTAACTTACAAGGATGACACATATACAACAGCACACTGAAATCTGTAGCACTATACCTGATGAGAAACTTGTTTAAACATGTCTTAAAATGGCTCTTTGTGGTCCCTTTGCAAACACGTGTTTCTTCTTCCCAACACCCCCCCACAGCAACTGTTATCTCCCATGCAGGAGTGTCCTGGGAAAGGTGTCCTGAGGTGTCCCATTGGTCCTTTGTTTAACCCTTTCCTATTGGCTGACCTGATGGTTTCTTTTGTGTGACCCTGAACTCGTGATTGGTTCCCCTTTGACCCTCCTAAAAGCCTTATAAACCCCTTCCCAACAATAAACTCCCTCTTGCCTCCTCTCCACGCCCGGTGTGCTGTCTCTGTGCCTGCCATGGAGCCACGTGGGTGGTGGGGGGAGGGGAGGGCACCTCTCCCCTCCAGGCTCGGGGCCTGAAAAACCCTGTTCCTGGAGTTCCCCCTTCCCCGTCCCACAAGACGTCGGAAATGGTTCCTCAGACGGAGAAGGAACTAGAGCTGGGCTCCCCCACGTCGAGGATGGGGAAAGGGAAACCCATAGAAATCAGGGAGAGCTACATTGCAGAATCCCTTGTGCAGCTGGAAGGTACAACTGCACGCTCCTCTTCACTTTTCACTACCCCAGTGCTGGTACATTTGCTTTCTGTAGCAGAGCCAGGGAGGAAGCCAGGCTATGAGTGAATGTTGCTGGGGTGAGCGGGGCAACATACCGTTCAGCTGCTGGCACACGGCCACTTGGCTTGGCTTCAGCACAAACTGGCACTGCAGCTCCTGGGGCAGCTGCTCTGTCAGGAAAGACTCCTGAAGCTGCCTGGGGCAGGCACAGTGCTTTGATCCATGGGGCATAGCGTCGCGAATATGGCTCATTTTAATTCCAAAGGGATATTCATGTCCTGTTCAAAGAGAAATCATAATAATCTGTGTTGGATTGACTGGAGACTTGCAAAACTCCATCTGCCCTGGATGGAGCAGATTTTGCTTGCTGGCCTGCAGCACGTTCTCTCTCCATAATCTAAGAATTGACACTTTTCTCCATATTTACACAGACACAGTTCATACACTGGCAGATAGGGAGTTACTGTGTTTGGTGTAGTTAAGCAGATGTAAAAGTAAAATCAGACCTATTGCAGCTGTATCACATAAAAGCCCATCAGAAAATACGGATGTTTACTATTTCTACTGCTTTCCTTGTGGCACTGAAAGTTTAGGTATTGATTGCTTGTATCATTCTGGAGAGAAATGACACTTTGGGAGCAGTCATTTTTGCTAAGCATGCAAAACCCAAAAAAAATCCAGTGTGAAAGTGATCTTCCTTCCTTCTCCGTGTTAAGTGCAACAGCCATCAAGTCAGTCAAAACGAGATACAATTATGGTTCTCATCTGAGGCTGAAACAGGAAGGAAACGTTAATCACAAGGCTAATGCAAATGAGCTACGCTTGGCTTTAACCAGCATCTTTGGGGACTACACAGACACAATTCATTTCTGGAGGAGCTTTCAAAAATGCCACTGGAAAGATGTTTTTCAGACTTCTCTAAAGACCTGGTAGATGAAATATATTAAATATGGATGCAGTGCTAAGATGTTTTAGTTAGCAGTTAGACTTGAGCACTGAGATTGGAAGAGACGTTATTTAAGATTACAGGTAAAATGAAGCTTTGGCACAGTCAAAACTCTGCTTCTGATGCCTACCTATGATAAAAGCTGGCCTTATCTAATAACTTTGCATAAATATCAAGAACAGCATCACTTTCATACTCCAAGGATTCTTCTTTTCCAAGGATTGTAACTTGAATTTGCAGTGAAAGTCAGTCAATTAGAAAGGTTTTACCATTTCTGAATTCTCTGGCTCTATGTTTAGAGCTGTGGCTGTGATTTGTTCTGAAGAAGATACACAATAATGGTCAGAAAGCCAAAGTCTGGTATGTTTCAAAGGCTAAACAGTTTGCACTACCTATAAGGTGCACAAGGTAGACCTTTTATAAATATTCATGTTGTCTGACTCCAGCGAAGCATTTGTAACTAAGGCTGCTTTGAGAAGGAATGCTAAGATTTACTGGGGTTAGATCTGCAAGAGGTAAAACCAGAAAACTCATAAGTTTTTCTTGTTATAATCATCTGCAAACTCATATAGCACAAGTAAAGCTGGGCTTCTACAGGGAAAGGTTCTTAATAATGGGAAGGGATTTTTTCTTAGTGAATCAAGGGCCAAAACCAAATCACTCCATCCAATCACTTTTGAGCTTTGGGTTGGTTCCTGAAGACAAAATGTTTTGAAAACCATTTTAGAAACAGAATAAGCACTGATTCACTCCTAATCAGAGTGGAGCTGTCAGCCAGTACAAAAACCAGAGGATTGAAAAGGACTTCTTGAATCAGTTAACTTGAGTTAACAACAGAACATTTCTCAAAACTCTGCTGAGTTTTACTGAGGAGGGAAGTACTGCTATGGAGGTGTAGGAAGAAGTATGGTAAAGCTGGACAGCCTGGAGGATGATGCCCCCAGGAGGGGGTGAGTGGAGAGGCCAACTCTGCAGAAAGACTGGGGCTCATGCAGTAAAACTGGGGCAGAAATAAATGACCTTTTCCAACCTCTTAGTGACACAAGCTCTTCAAAACAAAGGATCAGCATCTGACTAGCTCCCCAAATAGGCAAACTTGTGTGACAGGGAAGTAAGAGAAAAAACAGGAAAAACAAAAGAGGAAACTGCATTTCAGTCTTCTCTGTATTTCTTGCTTCCTTCAGCACTAAAAGCTGAGTGAATATTGAAAAACAAAACAACGTCAAGAACTTACCAATAAGAGGGTAAGGAGCATGTTCTCTTCCTGAAATCACCCACAGCTTGTAATCTTTTTCAGAGCCCTTTAAAACCAAAATTAAGAATAAGTTTGCCAGCCATTAAGGACAGGTTCATGTAAGGTTTCTCACAATGTAAGGATAATCTGCACCTTGTCAGCAGCATTTACTTTGCAGTGCCTAAGTTTGCCACCAACCAGCAAAGTTTCTGAATTGTGTCTGTCCTGAGCAATCTGGTTATGTGACCAGGATTCAGCTCTGAGCATTGAGAGGTGCTGGAGCCCATCATTTCTGAGGGTAAAGGGGGAGATTTTCCCAAATTCTTTCAGTGCTCCTGGAAGCAGAGGGATGGATGTCTCAGCCCACTCTGCCCTGCAGCACTTAGCAGCATCCAGCGCCGAGGAGAGACAGGTCTGATTCCCCAGAAGGATTACAGCTAAGCAGCACAAGGAGGAGGAGGCCCTGCTGCAGGGCATGGGGCAGTTCCTGTGAGCTGAGGTCACCCTTCAGCTCCGTCCTGAGTACCAGTGAAATCACACTCTCTGGGATGTGCTCTGCCACACAGGGACCCCCAGGCCTCACATCTGAGAACTCTGCTCCACCATCTCCCCAGCTTCTCTACATCCCCCTCAAGCAGGAGGAGCTCAGGCTTGTGAGCCTGTGACCCATGCTTAAAGGCAGGGCAGGAGAACCTTCACCCAAGTCCTGAGCCCACTCTGATGATGCCAAGGCAAGGATGGCACCCATGGGGCTCCTGGCATTCAACCCAAAATCTCCCTGTAGGGAGATTTTGTTGGATTTTGTAGGGAGATTTGTAGGATTTTGTTGCCCCAAAATCTCCCTGTAGGGCTGCTGTCAGCCCTTTTGAGCAGCCCTTTTCTGTGGAAGGGCTTGGGAGCACTGGAAGGTGTTTTCAGACTGCCGAGCCCTCTTTAAAATGTACAGTGGAGAGAATAAATTTACATCAAAGGAGACAATTTTCAAAAGACTGAAGAATGTGATCATCTTTGTGAAAAGCTGTGTAAAACCTCTGATTTGAAAGCAAATTCAAAATATTGCCTTTAGCATAAATACAGAAGTCAGCGTTGCAGTTTAATTGAAGAAAGAGAATAATACTTATTTCAGATATGATGGTGAGACAACAGAAGTAAAAGAATGACATTTAATATAAACCACACTCGGGACAAAAGGAAATAGCAAGTGGATAAATGCACTGCATTAAAAGTGATCTATTTTACCTTAAATTACTTTTCAGTGATAGTGCTAAATCAGAATAATTAAAATCTAAAAGTTTTCTGGCTACAAAGGTGGAAAATACCTCATGACAGTATCTACTTAGCTCTAAAGTTAAATCCTACCTCCTTTTAAACAATTTGCCTACTATCCTGCATTGTCTGGACCTTCACCCAGTGTCCCCAAGGCTCTTGAGGCTCTTCCTACTTGCTGCACTTACCTGGTGTAATGCTGATACATCCAATAAAGCCTTTGCAGTTTGCTCTCTGACTGACAGAGCTTTTTGGCCCATATTAGCACTTCTGTTAAGTCAGCTAGCAGGGGGCAGAAGGAAAATAAATAGGCTTTGGAGACATCTCTGATGCCTCAGGGCAAGCAGCCAGGAGCAAATAAATACAGCTGAGGAGGACAGGAAAGGGTATTTGCTTTTCCTTTTACACATATATGTGAAAGGGATTGTTGCCATCAAGGGGAAGCAGGGGAAAGGAAAGAGCTAGTAAGTATGGCTTTCAGGAGGCAAACTGTTCATATCCCGACTGCAAAACCTGTCCTTTATGGGCTTTATGAGGCCATTTGTCAGTATAAATATGACTGTCCCAGAAAAGTCAGAAAGTGTAATTACAGAGCTGGGAAACCCAAGGCCCTTCTTTCTGCCCCACTTGATAATTTGGAACAGATGATCAATGCCATTTTGCATGAGCTAGTTGTCATTTTACCAGAGAAACCACAGACGAAAAAACCCTGATGTGTTAAACCAGAGTGAACTCAGCCAAAGTAATAGCCTCATTAATCACATAATATGTGAAATGTAGTTTTTATAATTGCCATTGAAAAGTCATAAAGCTTCTTTCAAGTGGTCCTCTCTGGACATAAATAAAAAACCTCACATAAGGCAAAGCTTCCTCCCAGTCAGAACAATCCTAAGAGGGGTTTGGGTGTTTGATTGATATCCAGGCTACAGCTTAATTTATTTAGCTTGTTTGATTTTATTGCTAATCTTATGATATGCCTATAATGAAAAAAGGCCTTATGCTCTAAAGAAGCAGTGAAAAAATGTAGTACATTACTTGGGCAAATAATTCTGCAGGCAAGATTTTACATCTTTCAGATGGCTTTCCTTCTTTTTCCACTTGAAATAAAAATGTAAAGAGAAGGAAAGGGTTGATTGTAATACATACAATAGAACACAATGCTGAAACCTAACCAGTCCTCCTCCTGCTCCTGTCAAAGTATTGTCTTTGAATACTACCATTTTCCTGTTTTTTCTGTACACAAAATGAGGAAGTGCAAATGACACCCATAAAATGGGTAAAAATGAAGCACATCACAATAAAGACTTGCAGTTGTAATATAGCATAGTCTCCTGATTTTTCTTGCAGACAATCTGCAATTAAAATCCTAATTTTAACTCACATCTTATCCTTTTCACCTTGCAATCCCCTCCATGAACTCCAGCTTCCTTAATCGACTGGACTACTGGATTCTAAGCTCAGGCCAGAGCCTCAGCCCTGGTGGAAATGGGATGTCTGAGAAACAACAAGGTGGGTAGACAGAAATTGCTGTGCCTGAGAAATGCCAAGCTAGCAGAATAGATCCCTGTATTAAAAGCCTGTATAAATTAGGGATAATGGATGTTAGTGAATACTAATTCTGAGGTTACTCCAACTTTTGCTGTGAATGTCCAGAAGCTGCAGGGAAGCACAAGAGTGGCACTTTGCTCATATTTAACTCTTCACACCCAAGGCTGTGGTAAGGAAAGACTTGACAGATTCTATGCAATGAGATCAACACGTGCATCAAGAGTAAGACATTTAAAAAACTCTTATTACCCAAACAGCAGACTGGCAGGCCAGTTAAAAAGCTGTCATCCAGGATCTTCTATGTGATCACTGGTGTTGGTTGGAGGCACATTGTGAAACAGAATAAGGGAGCCAGAATTCTGCCCTTGGCATTGATTCACTGTTACACCTGAGGCACTACCTGGTCTGATTTAGAGCAAAGGAAGCCAGCTGAGGCAGTACTTGATATCGTAGGGATCGCTGCATTTATTTGGTACTACCCTGCATTACCATAAGTCCTGTAAAAGCCTTCTTCCAAAACAGTTTCAGGACATTGCTTAAATTGGGTGCATTCAGATTTCGTGCAATCGCTTAGTTACATTCTTGTCTTACATAACTCTAAAGGTCCATGGATATTTAAAGTACCTGATTCAGACACTTGAGAGCAGTGCTTGTACTTGCTATCTGGTGACACAGCTGATGATGCATGTTTGCACATTTTGAAACCAACTAACAGACAAGTCAGTAGGTTTCCTGTTCACACTGAAGCATGCAAAAGGAGCTCTACCAAACTCTCAGTTCTTGTGTCTAGATGTCTCCTCTTAGGCTTCAGCAAAACAGATTTAAAAGCAACTTGAAACATGACTGATCCCTTACAGGGATGAGAGAACTACTCAAAACTTTTAAAGCACTTGTTAATCTCTGGAGGTCTATATATTAAGAAGGCACTTCTGCCGCACTTCAATAACTCTGAATTGCTATCTTAAAGGCTTTAATTAATGTTCATATCCTAAAACTTTGAAATAGTGCAAGGCAAGATCTGACTGTTATAAGAGACTGCAAAAAAAGACTCATTAAAACTGGTGCAAGGACTTACATTAATTCCCAGCTGCTGCAGGGCCATCAGAATTACATCGTTTGCTGTATCAACATTGGTTACACTTAGGGTTTTTGACTGTGAACAGAAAAAAGGAGAAGGGGAAAGTGTCATTAAAAATTTGGATTTGCAAAGAGTATCTGAGGTGCAGTAGCTCTGCATAATTCATTGTTGGAAAAATTGAGAATATCCTGTAAAAATTTTACTTATTGAATAAATTATAGTACATAGATAAAGGTCCAGCTGTTTGAGATCAAGGTTTGATTTCCTCTGCTTTGTCACACACTTTCTGTATTTGCTCCCTGCTTCCCTAGCAGCTCCATCAGAAGAGAGAGTGCCATGATTACTGGGGACATGACTTCCACATTAAAATATGCAAAAAGACAGCACTACTAACTGCACTTTAGACACTGCATAAGGGGAACGCAATGGTTTGATTAATTTAAAAGCACACAAGTTTCCTTTGAAAAAAATTAAACATTTCAGTGAGTTTTTTCAGTGAAACATCAATTGTCAATAATTTCTGTCCTTTTCAACTGAAGTTCTCCCTGGCAAGAAAATATTGTAAACAGGCCATTCATCTCTAGCCCCTTTGCTACATTCTATATAGATTTCTCAGAGCTAGATCTGGCTCAGTACCAGAACCACTTACTCTTGGTAATCTTTCATCCAATTAAAATGCTACCTCTCCAGCAGCCTCCAGAATCTGCTGATGAGCAGTATGGAAAAGCATGGAGCAGCAGAGATACCACTTTCAAAATAGTTATGGTGACCAGCATGGAGTGCCAAGCTTTGGTTGGTGAAAGTGCTGCTTTCCACAGGGCAGTCTTTCCAGAGTGAGATTTCAGCATCTGCTGCCTGGAACCAGTATTCCTCCAGTACTGCTGTGCAATGCTCTGTACCTCAGCTCCATGGATTGCTCTTATGCATCGAACACACTAGGATTAATGACTCTATCCTCAGCCCTGCTGGAATGTAGCAGCACCACTGCCTTCACATTGCAGAGGCAAAAGCAAGTGGTGAACATGTGTCCAGAGTGGTTTTTGCTTGCAGCATCATACCCATGCTGGTCTCACTTCCAAGCTAACAGGCAACTCCCACACACCAAGCACAAGTTACTAAGCCCTCTTTAGAGGCTTGGCTCCACCAACAGCACTACACAGCTTTTGGATTGCAGCTGGTTCCTGGCCAGACTAAAGTCTTGGCAGAACAAAGGCATGCCCACTGCAACAAACCACCCAGGCATATCTGATGGCCCAAACAAGGGAAGGTGGCAGAGCTGCGATGTAGATGTTCACTGCCAGTCCCAAGATAGTTTGCAATACACTGATACCTTCTGTAGTATATCAATTTTATGCTGGCCATAAGGTGTTCAGGTGAAACAACCCTCTGACATTTTGCATTTAGAAAAGATCTGAGCTGTACATTTGTGTAGGTTCCTGACGGTTACAAGCTGCCATGGCAATGAAAGGAAAGTAGTGAGACTACTGTATATCTTGCTTCAGGACATATCTGAACGCTCATACCATAAAAAATTTAACATTTGCCTGAAGCAATGACATCTGGCTCTCAGGAGTAGGTCAGCACATTTGCATAAGTTTTGCTCTTGGCTAGAATATAATAAAATGGTTTGTGCCTTGTGTTCAGCCTTCCTTACTGTCCAAAACCAAAATAATTCTTAGGCATCTCCAGCCGCTATAGCAGGAACCACAGTGCAATAAGAACTGTTTGCATCACAGAATTTCTATCTGTTCCTCCTCTGTTTTATTACTGGTAATATCCAGACTATAGTGTGTCGTTCCTAGGACTGTGAGGATCAGGAGACCATATCTGGCATATGAGCTTATTAAGCTAAGGAGAAAAGGCATTTAAAAAAACCCCAACAAATTCTGGTACAAGACTGCAACTCGAGAGCATGTATGATTTATAGACTTTTACACCTGAGCAGACCTTGATCTGCAGTCTTGCATTTGAACTTCACAATTTTTGGTATTGTTTATTAATTTTTATCTTAGCCACCTCGCAATTATATTATTGTTTAATTATTATTTTCTGAAAAAAAGGCAGACTCCTTTATGCTTTCATCTATGCAAATACAGAATTCTAAATGGAGATTCACCGTTGGGCAAAGACTTCCAATGAAATCTAACTTCTGTCAAAATTTCTCATTCCCTTGCACATGCTCCTTGGAGTTCTGAGCTTGAAATACAGATGTTACAAGAAAGAAAAGAAAAATGTAGAAGAAGCAAAGGAATGAACGGATTATCACTGAATGCTAGGGTATCCCAATGGAATTGGCTAGATGCAAGAATTTATTTTAAATTGGTTAATAATTACTTAGTCAAAAAGGTGCAAATCACCCTGTGAATGACCTTTTTCACTATTTACACTTTGCCTATAAATTTACCAGCATCAACTAGTTGATGAAAAACATGCTTAAGGCAATTTCAGGGTGTTCTTACACACTGCTTTCCTGACTTAAGATCGCTATAAACAATAACACACGCTGCAGCTTCGCAGAATTGAATGAAGGCAGTTGTGGGTTTAGATAAGATTTACAAGCAAAAAAAGGGTATATTGTGCTGGTATTTCTGAAGATGCTTACGCGCAAGTTCCACTAGAGGTGTTTCTTGGGACTTCACATTGTACAGTCTTTAGTTTGTATGCCAGAACCATTATTTCTTACCAAGCACACTGTCTTTAAAACGGAAGTCATGTATTAAACACAGGGCACAAACATTTCAGGGCTGCGTATGCCAAGTCTTTTCAAGGGACTGAATCCTTAAAGGAGATTGCAAACCAAAGGAACCCTTTCAATATCCAAAGGATTTGCAGGTCACTAGCACTCATAGGTGGTTTGGATTTAGACCCCTATTTAACTCAAGAGCACTTACATATGCACAAGTTCCCACGTCTTTTGCAATTATCGTCACAGGAATCCTTTTAGGATTGTCTTTTTCCTTCTCTTCTCTTATTCGACTGACAAAACAAGTATAAAACAAGTAAATTTTTAATATTGCAAATATAAATAGCAAGACATATTTAAATAGCAATCAAGCAGTAACTGGATAAGAAGCAGACTGTTTGCAGATGTACTGCAGTAGAAAGATCTCTAAAGAAAAGAAAGCATCCAGCAGCAGCATCTGGAAGGGATGCCAGTTGTCGTCCCCAGTAATGCCCTGTTGTATCAAAGTTCATTGTAGAAATCAGAATAATCAGCAGAGAAAGTGAACAGAAAAAAATCAAGCTAAAACTACCCATCATTGTGATGCCTCAGTCTACACTAAAAGCTCCTACTGGAATCAGTTACCTCAGTATAGACTAGTTCAAAGGACTGAACAGGAGAAGAGTGAACTGGAAATCATCCCAGTAAGAATGATTTAAACAATCCAGGAACTCTGAAGAATCAGATCAAGACAGAAACCTCAACCAGAAGAACTGGTGACCAGAAAACAGAACTATCACTAATAGCTTTCTGTCCAGACACCGAATGACGTAAGACAGCTCTATTTAGACAAACCCTCCCACCACACCCTCCAGCTTGGGGTATGTTTTGTAAGACCAAAATATAGCTGGCCATGAGCAGCAGACAGAGGTCCTGAGGTGGGCTTGCTTAGCTGCCATCGCCATGGAAAGAGCTCCAGGCTCAACTAGAGCAACAGTGGCATTGGGAAGGAACAATGTGTATTAGGAATTGCTCTAGTTTTGTGCTGAGCAAGGAAAGCAATTCCCTCCTTGCACAGTGATGGATGCATAAAAGGCATGCACCATCTTCTGCAGGGAGAAGACAAGATTTTTTCTTTTCCTTAGTAGCACTTGGAAGGAGCTCATCTATCATGACGGCATAGGCACCACAGCTTGGGAACCACTGGTCTAGACTGGGACTCTTTTCAATGTCTTTAAAGACCATACAAAAAAAGTACCTTTGCAAAAAAGAGAGCCATGTTTCCTTTTGTTCTGCAGACCTGAAAATTAAAACAAAGCAGGGACAAATCAACCATCATTCTAATACCAAAATAGTCCTCGTACAAACCACAGTGGAATGGACTGTTTCTTGGCTGGAATTTTATAAATACCTACAAAAACTAAAAGATTTATCCAGATTTGAATGAAAAGTCTGCTTCTCTGCAAAGTCAACTGAAAAGCCTGCCCATGGAGACCAAAGCCCCAGTTACCAGTTTTTGTCACAGAATTCAAAGCTTTGCCAATGAATTCAGCAGGAAAACCATTGACTTCTTAAACTAGTGTCCAAATAGAAGAGGAGGGCACTTTAAAATAAGAGGTTAATTCAAAAGTTTAAAGGTATTTCCTCAGGTACACAGACTTCTTTCCACTTTCACTATTCTAATTATCTTCTTATTTATTAGTTGTTTTGTCAGCACATCACAAAGTACACATAAGCCCATTGTGCTTAGTAGGGTTTAACTTTGGACATTTTAAGGCTTATCTCATTTATCTTTATCTCATTTATACCCTTTCAAGGATATAAAGCTGTCCAGTTAAATGTAGCTAATAATAGGACTGTTCAAGGAATCTAACCTAATTTTGCTTCAACTTTCTTGATTTAAATCCTGTCCCAGATGGAGTAACTGCTATTCCCACTGCTGCTTTTGTAAATCGAGTTCTTCAAATTTTCAGAGAAGGTATTTAGGGAACTACAAACCTTCTGAATGATGCTGTGAGGGGAATGCTACAAATGTAAATGCTACAAATATGACTCTGCTTTGGCTGTTTCAGTTATGTTGGACAGGCATCTACGGACTCACCCATGGCATTTTAGATTTTTCGGTGTACCTCCAGACATGAAATAATTTCACTGCTATAAAATCTCTGACTCTTTCTTGATTGAGGCTATTGCTTTCCTATTCAACTACTTTCTGATATCTATAAAGGATCACATACTGTCTCTAGATCAAAGTTCATGTTTATTGGCAAGAGTTCAACTGAAAATCAATAGAAAATTTCATCTTTGTTTCAGGGCTATTAAGTGTAAAAAACATAAACAGCACAACCATCTCAATAGAGTGCAGTTTGTACACAGCATTCTCTTTGGCTAAGGACAATGTGACATAGAAATTAAGCTGGATACTTCAGCTTTTGCTCTCTGTTGATAAAGAAGAAAATGCATTTTCCAAGACTCAGGCAAATTACCGTGGCTAAGCAGCTGGGATTTCAGGGGGATGTGCCCTCCCTCCTCCAAAGTGACGACAGAGCCCTCCTGCTGAGACTAAAATTAGCCTAATCACTGAAATTACCTCTACAGCCCTTATGTGTACTACAGTCAATGCTGCAAAGACAGATGAAAAATCCTTCTATTAAAATTCAGAGATTCTGCCTTAAGAGTAATTTTGACATTTTCTCTGGCACAATTAAATTGAACAGATAAATAGGACAAGGTCAGTATTTCACTGTATGTTTCCTGCTATTTCCGATACATGCTCTTCTGTTTAAAACTGTCTTATGAGTCTCTTTGATCCTTTCATTAGCTTATCTGTTTAATATTTGTAGTTCATCTTATTAATTAGCCAAGGTGTTCATCAAGTTATACCAAAAAAAAAAAAAAGATAATTTCCACTGAGCAAGTTTGTAGCACAGACAGTGCTTTGCCAAGTTACATATTTTCTCAATTTTTAAAATTATAAGAAAGTACCATTGCCCCATTTGCAGGGAGACAGAAGATGAGGTGTGGAGGGTGACTTGCTCACAGTAGTAGAAGGAATTGGTTTAACAATCAGCAAGTTGCTGTGCCCCACATTCACTGGTGCTGAAATGAATCTGTGATAGTCTCATTACCTGCCAGCCTAAAAACATTTAAGTAACTTGGTAAATAAAACATATCTCAATTCTTACCTGAAATTTGCCACACAGTTTGTGGTGGGCCAGCCCAAAACAAAAGACCTCTCTGGGTCTGTGCTGCCTTCACAGACTTCTTCTGTACAAAATGCTGTCCACATCTCACAGAGACGTGCTTGGCACTTTAGTTTGAAATGAGAGTGTGACCTGCAGGCAGAAAATCATAGGTAAGTCACACACATGAAAACATAGCAAGACAGATTAAACAACTAGAGATTTTTCTTCCTTCAGGCACATGTAAAGCTTGCATTGGAGCTGATAGAAGAAACTCTTCTGCTTCAGTTAAAGAAAACAATGTTTTATTGGGTTACATGTAAAAACATATCAATTTCTTATTTGAATGGGATCAACAGACCTCTTATTTGTGGAATAAACAGATTGCTTGTGGCATCCCTGGGAATCACCCTTCTTGGGGGAAAACTTCCGTTCGTATCTAGAGTACTTCTCCAAATCTCACCATGAGGCAAAGATTGCCACTTGTACTTGAGTCTCCTTTCAGTGACCTTAATGCTATTGAGGAGTTTATAATACAGTTCTATTGCTTAGCCCCAGGGTCAAAAACTATGATGAGTTTAAGTAGTGACAACTAGGTCAGGGCAAATGAAGCAATCCTGAAGAAAGAACAAGCAGAAAACTGTCATCTGTGTTAACTACAGCACAGGTCACCATACAGCCTCCACGAACTAGCTGCATAGTAGCTTTAGGTCCACATCACTTGGAGAATGAGCCAGAACTTTGTGCATTCTCAAAATATTCGCTCATGTATAAGGAAGATACAAAATTTCCCCAATTTTTAAAAATTTGGCCCTTCCTGTGTTTTATCCTACTAAACAATAAAGGTCAAATTTACACAATTTCATATTTTAATTTCAACTCTTTCTTCCACCTAATTTCTCATTATAAGTCTCCTTCCTTTGTAGGATTGGTGAGCGCTAGTGCTATGTGAGAAACAAGTAAAAACTCAAAGTCAATGCAGCTCTGTAGCACTGCAAAAGCCGCTCACTTCAAGCCTTGCAGTCGGAATTACCTGAGCTATGGTTCTCCTGGGCCAGCAGGGAAAGGCTGGAGGAAAAGTGTTCCCTACCTGAAACCGAGGGGACATGCAAGCAAGAGCATATCAGCTCACCACTGTGCTGCAAACATGATGGGGACAGTGCCAGGCACCGTGGTGATTAGGGCTCTATAAATAAATATGCCACATAAGCAGTTTCCTAGAGCTTTGATACACATGGGCTACCTTCTCTGAGATTAGTCTCATTTACAAGGTATTTGACTTAGAATAGACTGAACTAATACACCCGGAAACACAAAAGTACTTGAACCTTGTGGCTTTCAGGAGGACATAGGTGAACTTGCAGTCAGCTGAACCCTGACTGTCTGAGGTTTCCAGCTGACATTGTACTAACATGTGTGGCGAGATGGTGTGCAGCAATGCTCGCACTGTTGGGCAAAAAAGGACTGTCAGTGTAAATCAAATCTGGTAAAAAGATACATTTCAATTTGATTGTCGTAAAATACTGTAAAATACCATCTGAAGTTCCTGTATTTTTTAAACTAAAAGCTAAACACCATGTTCAGCTAAACTAAGATCATAGTGTTTCCTGATCAGCTGAACATTTCACCTCTCTTCACTATATTATGTTCTGCTACCCAATCAAAGACAAACTTAAAGTACAGGAGAATGTTTCAGCATGCTTGTTAAAAATTAGTTTATGATGCAACAAGTAAGGTCTGTCAAGAATACAAAACTAACTGTATTCTGACTGACCACAGAATGAACCGTGAAAACGTAGATTTACAAAAAATACAGCTGTGAATTCTAATGTAGATGTTAATAAATGGATGTCTGGTCTTACGCCACCGAATCAATCTGTTGACCCTCCCTTTCTCCTTAACTTTTTTTTCCCATTACCCAGTACAGTGAACACTCTACATGCTGTTTCACTTTTTTTAACATTTACAGTTCGTAAAGCCAGATCCCTACAGTGCCAGTAGCAGGTGTCAGCAGGGTGTTGGCAGAAGCACAAGGATGTTCTCCAATCATGCTTGATGTATGTTCTTACCCTTTCTGCCATGCCTAGTCACAGCTTTCAGCTATTATCAGTATTCAAGTGGCCTGATTTCCAGAGGCACTGAAACAGTAGCCTTCGTTAACATCTAAAGAGCCTGAAGTATATTTTTATCCCTATCTGCCATGTCCTTTATGCAATCCATGGGTTCTCAGTATTTGTGAAAAGTGGGCCTTCTACTCAAGTGCCAGAGCATTACCTCTAAAAATGAATATATCATTGCTGACTAAGGAAGTAGCATGACTGAATGTTTTAAAAATGGCCAGACTAAAATCTAATTAATATTGTATATATTTTTAAGGAAGTCCCCTAGCAAACGTTACTGTAAACATCAGGCAGATCTCAAGTCCACTGAAATCAACAGAAAAATCATGAACATCAATGGTGTCGGTATTGATGCACTCCATGCAGGGCACTTGCAGTTCCTTTTGCTTGCAACTGGACACTTTGCAACCAATAACAGATGGAAGATTAACTTCTCACTGGATTTGCTAATCTCCTTAATAGGACCCTCTGACAAAAGCATTAATGGATCTACTGTGAGACTGTTACCATAATTCCATGTATGCACTCAACCATTAATTTCTATGTCCAGACATATTGGGAAAATGACCTTAAAAGGCATGTGTATATACACAGGTGCATATTACAAAGGAGAAAGAGGAAATCATTTCTCTGTGCTTTCCACACAAAAATTTACATAAGAAACCTTCATAATTGAATTGACAGATCCTTGAAGTATTTACTCTGCCAAATAAAAACACATGCTCTCTGTAAGAAATCTAATCAATATATAGAAAAGAGTATATAATATTTTACATACATAACTTTGATTTAGTGATAAAAACTCTTTCAATCAATTCATTTGTGACTTAATCCCCATATCAAGGCAGTGAAGGACAGGGCAGCAGAGGAGCACAACATGTGAGTATTATTCTTATTTTTTATAAGCTGGTATAACGCACGATCAGAAAACATAACAGTCTACATTTCAGAAATTATTAGAAAGTAGCAAAAAATGAACCTAGAGGCCCCTTTTCCAAAGTCATACATGGACCAGTTGTGGAGAGGACTTATCCCTCACAAATTTCCATGGGAGCAATGCCAATTGGCTGCCTTTAAGCAGGAGCTCAGTGCTATACAGTACTTTACTCAGCAAGCTCAGAGGACACAAGATACTTGTTGCTCTCTTTAGGAAAAACTTGTACCTGTTTGCTGATCATACGAAGACTAATTATACATGAGCTCCCTTTGTACAGTTACTGGCTACCTGCAGCTGAGCTGACACGAGCACAGCACTGAGCTGTACTGAAGATAATGTAGGGGTTCATATGCCTCAAGCCAAAAAACTACTTAAGACAAAAAGAGTATTAAAAATTTTTAGCACTTTCACAAGGAATAATTCTGAAGATAAGTCAGATTCAACTGCATCATTAACTCTGTCCTGGTCTGACTGCTTTGACTCTGCAACAGGCTATTAAAAAGTCTATAGCAATCAATAGTCACGGCCACATAGCAATACACACGCTCAGGTCTTCCTTCTAGGAACCAACACTGGTAAGACAGCTTTAAAAATGCTGATTTTTATGTAGTATTCATTAGTGACAGCTCTGATGCTTTAATTGCTGACAGAGCAGCTGTAAAGAGAACATCCCAATTAGATCTTCAAAATACATGAAGTAATATCACTTAAAATACTATTTTTACCATTTCTAGCAAAGACTCGCCCCCTTCCTTTTTCACATGCAAAAGCACAATTTGTTCTCTTCCATCTTTTTCAAACATTGCAGTCTCTGCTCCACATTAAATCACATGCTGTAAGAGCTGTTATTACTCCCTGGGGACCAGGGTTTTGTGCGGTTGCACTGAGTAGTGCTTTCCTATGCAAATAGTCCCATTGGGACCCAGTCAAACCTGCAGTAATGTGCAGCTCAGCTTGGGGCTGTAACATAGCTTCTGCTCGGCATGCTGACCGGGGTGGGAGGGATTTACCCCTTCTGACTTCAGTCTTCTACAATTTAGGAGCTAAGCTATGCTGGATAGCCAGTGTATGGAGTGAGAGACCCCCAAGAACCTGACTCTCCTCACCCACTATCGACACTCTTTCGGCTCCAGGTGAGTTTGCTGCACTAAGGTGCTGGTTTTGCCTCAGTGACTGTAAGAGGGGCCTAGAAACCTGGGTAAGTTGCAAATAGTTCACGTTTTAAAGCTGAAATCAGGTGAGGTGAATTCCACTCTAAACAAGCAACAAACATAAATCAATACAGTAACAATGTTGTTATTGCTACTGCTGGTAGAATAGCAAGATTTCCCCTAAATATCCGTACGTTCACCACCCACCCATAGTGGAACATGTTTTGTGTAAAACATCCTCTGTGTTGTCACACCACATCAAGTGAGGGAGTTCAGCTGGGAGGGTTATGTTTACCATGTGTGATTCAAACAGACACGGCTCAGATTTCTACAGAAAACACAGATTTCTTCTGGCTTTTCCCAGAAGCCCCTGAAACAATTGCTTAAGCGAAATGACACATTGCAAAAGCCCAGGATTCATACTGAGATTGCCCACCCTGTGAAACCACAACACAGTGCCTTACAGAGAGTGAAGCTACATCAGGATTTTTTATTATTATTTCCCCATAACCCATAACAACAAGTGAAAGCACCCTCTAAAACTGCCTTAAACCACAAATGCTGCATGAAGCTGGCATGCTAGACACAGCTTGTAAATGTGATTTAATTGTGAATGGTAGAGTGAATAATCAGAGCTCAGCAGCAAGCCTGATTACACATGAACACTACCCAGACTGCCCAGCATCGCTTCCCCTTCCCCATGCACAGGACAAACTGCGGAGACATACACTGTAATGCCATCTGCAATCTCTATTTTCATACAGCTGCTCATCACTGATGTGTATCCAAAGCAGCTTCCAGGTAAGGGTTAAGACCTCTAACCCCACCAGTGGTGTTATGCACATCCCATGGGACTGAAGATGCCCTGTCTAAAACATGACAAGTTGAAGGTAGCACAACAGACATAGCCGAGCACCAGTGAGTCTTTTCTGTGACGCTGCACTCCCAGAGCAGAGAAGATTACACAATGCAAGCAATACTCAAAGAACATCTGATACTTCCTTAAAATGTTGCATCCTGGAATTCCTCTATGGCTACGGGCCATACTCACTTGGACTTGGCAACAACCAGAATGTCTGTGAAGAGAAAAAGGTGTCGCTCCTGGGTTTGCAGACTCGTCTTCAGCTGCACATGGCCATCCAGGATGAACGTTCGGTTGTGGCATATGAAAGACTGCACAAGAGGCCATGCCTCTGGGCTGATGGGGGACAAGCAGCCTTCCCTGAAAAAGGAAATAAAACAAATGGGATAAAGAAAATCAAATCAGCCAGTTGCCTGTAAATTGAGAACCAGGCAGTGAATTCCCATATCTGCTGTCAAAAAGCAATTTATTTGACCACATTTCAGTGAAAGGTGAAAGGGACTAAGAGGATAATTCAGCAGTCAGATTCTGACAGAAAATCTATTAGGGACTGTCTTCACTGAATCTTTTACAGCCTAACCACATCTAGCATTTAGCAAAGGACAATAATTTAGACATTTTATCTTTTTTTATTTGATTCCCTTTGTATTGAAGCCTTAGACAAAATACTTCACCTTCTGTACGCTGTCCAAAAAGAGAGGAGACATATGCATGATGAACAGATAACTGCACAATCACCTTGCTCAGAATAGGACTCATATTCAGGGTTAAAAGTGATTTATAGAAAGTATTCCAACCAAGGACAAACATAAGGTGTAACCGAACCTTGCTAGAGACAGACCATGTACCAGATGCAACGTGAGACAAGGCTGCTCGGCCTTTCTCTCTCCCAGCATACAATCCAAAAACATTGAAGTAAGCTCCTGTTCCACATTTTGGTTGTGTGACCAGAGCTATGCTTGTCTAAGGCTGCTGGGTAATCCAAACCCAGGTCTATAGGGAAAAAATTAAGACTGTCTCCTGGAAGACACTGATCTTTTCTAAGGAGGTATTGCAGAGTTTATAGCCCAAGGTGGAGACATGATTCTCTCAACCCCTCCTGTTCTCCATAAAGTAGTGGAATAGTTACTGAAGCAGAAATAGAGTTTCCCTAGCATGATGGTCAGCTCACTCACCCAAATAGGATAGCCTTCATTTCTGAGTCTTGCTCTAACAAATGACTATTTATATGGAGCTGAACCGAATGAATGTGAGGGTCTGAGAGGATGACACTCCTCCTCTAGGGCTCACTAGATGCTTGTTGCAGGTCAGGCTCTCCCTTTGAAAGCCAGAGACATGGCTTCCAATTCTTACGGGAAAGTGCGAGAACTGAACCTGCGTCTCTTACACTCTGGTGGACCTTAAATAATGAATTTCTGGATTAAAACCAGGACCCAACAGTATCTTTACTCATGATTTTAAAATCCAGCTTTCCAGTTATTTGCTTTCCCTAGAGATGCCTCCAAGTGAACCATTTCCCTTTGGTAAAATGGATCAGTTCAATTTTTATTAAAATGTATTATTTTTTCTTCTTAAAAAAAAAAAAAAATTAAGCTAACACTTGGCGGGATCAGCTTGGCAAGGACAGGCTGAAGTGAACAGCTTTGTAATTCTAGTTTATTCCTGGCCCCACTGGAATGAATGACAAACACCTAATGACTTTGCTGGGAGAAGAAATGGAACTCATACAGTGAAAGTCACAAAACGAAATAGGAAGGAAATGAAAGAAAACATGAGTGAGCAGAGAAAACCTTCAAAGAAGGTCATAAACCTTCTTGTGCCTCTCTTAGAGCCTAGATGACCCACAACCCTCCTCTCCTTGATACCTGTGGGTGGATTATGAAGGAAATTATTTAGGAAATCCTGACAGCTGGGAGAGAAAGGATAAGCTCTGAGATTGGCCCACATTAGCAGGACACACTTTCATTGATGTGTAAGGACCGATGAGGATCTCTGCCTGCTGGGGAGAGCCTTGTTTGGCCTTGCATTCCCCTTTCTGGCTGGGAATCTGAATTTTTGAAAGAATTCCTCAACTTATTTTGTCTTAAACTATGTCTTAATCATGTCTTTCATTACGTACCCCTTCAGGGGAGAGAGAAAGAAGCAGAAGGGGTGTTTAGGAGTGTGGAGGTTAAAGCAGAGAAAGGAGTTTTGGAAAGGATCATGTATCACTGTACAACAGTGATACATGCTGTGTGGCCAGCAACAGGAATTAGGGGAACAACGAGCACCTCTTCTACCCTTCCACTTCCATGGGATGGGAATTTGCCAATTCACCAGTTCACTGGTGAGTGTTAGGCAACCGGGACTCCATTTCATTAACTCCTTAGCAGCGCTTGGCACAGAAACTTAAGCAGAAATCAGGAATGGTGATGAATTGACCTGCATGAAAGCCATCCATGGTCCTTACCTCAAAGATTAAGTCAGTGATATAGTCACTTGTATTTGAACCCAGTACCAACAACAGCTAGGAAAGCCCTCTCCATGTTACACTGCTGTAACTAAGTTAGCAGAAGCACTCTTAAAATCATAGGGTCAGGCTTTGCTGTCTCCATATAGGCAACTCTGTTTGATTATTCCTGTTTGTGTATTTTCTACATCCTGATTTGTAAGCCCAGGAACCCCTTAAATTAAACTAAGCAAAATCTTTTTCATATAGGTATGCAAATGAAGGTGTAGTAGGTTTAGTAATGCCAGTAGGGTCAAGCAAATTGAACTGTTTTGACCCAGTGCCTTTCAAGCACATCTGTCATCTGAACTCTAAAGCACTCTTACATACTCTAATATTAGGGTTTACCTGATAAGCCTTATTAAAAAAAAAAAAAAAAAAAAAAAAAAAAAAAAAAAAAAAAAAAAAAAAAAAAAAAAAAAAAAAAAGCAAAAATATTTTCTTCCCTAGAAACAAAGTGGAAAAAAAAAATCAAAGTCATTAATTCATCCAGAATCTTTTAAGGCCTCAGGAACAAGAAACACGGAGGAAATTCATGTCAGCAGTGCCAAAAATGTTGTTTGGAAAGCATGCTTTTGATCCTCTCAATTAATGTTCCATTGTTACAAGACATGAATGAAACCAAGTGTTGTTACATTGAAGAAAACGCAGATCGGCAATATCCTTGGGATAGGGATTCATGTGAGAGAGGTATTTCTGCAGTTCAGTTTTTACTGGCTCAATGATTTTTCTGGCCACTAAACGAGTCTAGTTTTGAAAAAGTGCTAAGTACACAAATACTGATTCTTTGAAAATTCCTTTTAATAGAGTTAGGCAAAGCTCTGTACTTAAGTCAGTGTGATTTCTGATATAATTAAAAAATAAGTCCGCGATATAGGGCTCTCTCTGCCTTCGCTATATTTCCCTAAAAGTCACTTCATGATTAACACATGTAAAAATCCCACAAAGTAACATCTTTCCAGTTTGGCAGGAAAAAAAGCCATCACTCAGGTTTGTTAAGAAGGAACTGTGAACTGATTCCTGAATAATGGGGATAGACGGGGATCCTGCACAGCCAGCAATCAGTCATGTTCCATTTTCTGTAGAAGCAAGGCTGACACTGATGTTTTGATGGTATTGCCATTGTAAAATGCTAGTCTTAAGTGGACAGTTTTTCCTAAAATACTATTTCGGAAGACTGAAATTGCTATGTGGGATTTTAACTAAGGAGAAACTCTTGTAGTTTGACGATATCTACAAAATATTCTTGACTTATTCAGAAAAAAACTAAAATCACTGTACTGGCTAAAATTAGTGTAAAGATAATTGAAGATTTCTCTCCTGGCTTTTCCAGAAGGTAAATTTTTGCACCTGTTATTTTTGAAATTAATCAAAATAGGCATTTTGTGCCTATTCAAAAGACACTGATTTAAAAGAAGTCTTCAGTTTTGTAGGTGAAATATATGAAATTGAATTCCACACTAGTCAGCCAAACACTGAAAAACACATTCCAGCTGCATTCAGTGTGAAAGCAAACACATCAATGCTCACTTCATCAATCCTGTATTTACTAAAAGCCATAAAGCACAAAAATTACTTCTTTTTTCCCCTGCAGAGCTTCCTTGGGGTTTCCTATAAAACTGATACCTAAACAGCATGACCTACAAAATGTTTATTCTTGGTGTTAATGGAGATGTCAGCTTTATTACCTGTTTGTAGTGAAAACAATGAAAGAAATCATACTTTCCTAAGGAGAGTTTAACAGCCCACGTTAAGTGGTTACTGAATCCATGATCCAAATGTCATTTATGCCAATGGGAAGCTTTCCACTGATTTCAGTTGATGATTACGTCAGCCTATCTATGATTTAGATTAAGCTATAAGATGCCTCAAGGGAACAATCTGTTCCGAGGTGGCTCAGCTGGAATGAGCTATTGCAGGTATCTCGGCTGTAAGACATCCCTCTCAGAGACTGCTCATGCTCCATCCTAAACCTCACTCCATTGTTTTATTTATTGTTCTCTACCAGAACTTCTCTCCGCTGATGATATCGTTGCAGTTGCAGAAGTCGATTTCCTCTTATGATGCAGCACCAACACTCTCCACATGACTGATGCCTATTGAAATAAAATGCCATTTTCCTTTTTAACCTCTGAAGTCCTTCACAAGAGGTAGGTGAGAAATCCACCTTTTCAGTAGCAGAGTAGTAAAATGGCAGCTATTCAAAAGGCTGAAACCTGAGTCAGCCCATCCACTTGAGAGGCTGCACTTGGTCTGTCAAACACACATACATAATACCTTTCCAAATTCCTCTTATAGTGAACAACATAGCCTTTATTAATTTCACACATGTGTTCTGTAAGCAAAACTACTGCATGCCTCCAGCAGTGCCGAAGCCTGAGTAAGGGCAGAAGCTCTTTCCAATTTTCATAGAATCAATCATAGAATCATAGAATATCCTGAGTTGAAAGGGACTCAGGAGGATAATCAAATCATAGAGTCATAGAATAGTTTGGGTTGGAATTGACCTTTAAAGGCCATCTAGTCCCATCCCCCTACAATGAGCAGGGACATCTTCAAGCACATCAGATTGCTCAGAGCACTGACCAACCTGACCTTGAATCTTTCCAGGCATGGGGCTCTTAACACCTCTCAAGGTAACCTTTCTTATAGGCCACCTTTAGGTACTGCTCTAAGGTCTTCCTGGAGCTTTCTCTTCCCCATGCTGAACAGTTCCAATTCTCTCAGCCTTTCCTCACAGGAGAGGTGTTTCAGTCTAATCATCTTCATGGCTCTCCTCTGGACCCAGTCTAACAGGTTTATGTCCTTTCCGTACAGAGGACCCCAGAGCTGGACACAGAACTTCATGTGGAGTCTCACCAGAGGAGAGCAG